TTAAATGGAAACAGGTCTAAGCTCTCCTCTCCCCATCCAAGATCTACAGTTAAGGTTAACACGGAGTGTAGAACACACCTCAGGAAACATAACCAAGAGCAGCAGTTGAAGCTGGTGGAAAGAATGAACACCCTAGAAGTGACAAGATGAGGTTGCAACTTTGGGGGATAAGATGACACGCACACACGCGCACACACACACACAAGATCACCCTACAACTTTCTTCCAAAGGTCCTCCAGAGTTCCTAACGATACGTACTTTTTAATATAATAATTCCTCTAGTGCCCACCACAGAAAATACCCTACCCTCGCGGCTTCTGTAACAGCTCTACATCTCCTGAGAGCAAGAGTATGTTTTCAAATCAGCAATGCTATTTATGCTTCTACCCAAAGGGACAAAGATTTGCTTAACAAATGCATTTGAGTGGAGCGGAACTTACAGATTCAGTTCAAGTATAAAGAACGCAAGTTGACTAGCTACTTTTAGCGGCATTCTCTAAGAAGGGGGGATGGAGTGGGGAAAAAAAAAAAAAAGATGTCTGATCTACAGAAAGTCATGAAAACCTCAGCACAAAGGCTTAGATAAAAAAAATCCTTAGGGTGTACAAATTTCTCAAGTGTCCTTACAGAGTAGGTGAAATGCTATGTCTTACAACAGAAGCTAACATGGTCTCAAGGGCAAGCTGTGACAAAGCTGCAAAGTAAGACGGATCTCCCAAGTCCAGTCTCCTCTCTCAGCTTTCAATCACCGATCTCCTCCCTGCCCACAATATCCATCCTATCCGTCATCTGCCATGCTTTAACTCCAGTAGGCAGCTAAGCACCACACAGCCACTTGCTTACTCCACCCTGGTAGGATGGGGGAGAGAATTCAGACAAATCATGCTGATGAACACAAGTATCTTGCACACCACAACACAGATACAAAATACAGCAGCAGGGGAATAAGGAATTTTACAGCCTTTTCCCTTGAGGGTGCCTTGCCCTAAAACCAGAAGGGTATTTGTCAGCTGAACTGTACCTACACAGCCCACCTGATCTTTTCGATTACCTGCACACAAAAAAGTCAAAGACTAAACCAGTCATTCACAGAAGCCATTCATGTACCTGCTGGTGGAGGTGGTCCTCTGCAGCTGCCTGTGTTGTCCGTAAGCTAGTTATCAAGTCTTCCAGGCGGTTATGAACCTACAGAAGCATTAAAAGAAGCAAGACGACATACTATGATGTTCCAGACTGAAGTTTACACCTCATTACCAAAAACAAATATTACATATGCCTCTTCACCTCTTTATTCCTACAGTATTTACACCTAGCACCAATAATCACAACGGCCTTAGTTTGATGCCACTGTAAAATTGGTAGCAATCATCACGTCTGCCATTTACTTCAGGGAGAGAGAACACCATGCAAAGAATCTTCAATGAAAACAGGCAGGAGTAGCTTTTCCCATCCACAGTAGATTTGAAAACCATGCCCTACTAACCTAAGAGGAAGGACCAGCGTCATGACTGCCTTCCCTTTTCTCTTGTCAGTATCAGTACATCACAAAAGTTCAACTTTCACATGTAGTTATTTCTGAACTCTTTTCAGCATTAATTACCAACTACAGTTTTAACAAGAACCCTGGTTCACTCATTACAATACAAATTTCCTTCATAGAGGCCACAGACAAAAGCATCTTATTGGAGCTAAAATCAACCACTGTGCAGAGGCAGTGGGAAATTCCAAGGCCTGCACTGAGCTCTGTGAATGATACCACAGGCATTCTTCTTCACTGTTTCATGAAGACAAACCCACACCAAGTGGCCAAAGGAAAAGCAATTCTGCGCAACCAAAGCTCTGGAGAGTATAATTTTTGTTCCAGTCTGATGATGCCAGTCATCTGGCACAAACTGCTTGGTATCAATATTCTCTGTAGAATTTCCAGGAGTTAACTTAATGAATACCTTTAATGATACACATTGCAACAAGGGTTTGAAGCCTCATCTGATGTCATGACAGGTCTAAAGCAGACAATAGTTAGACCAGCGTATTACTGTCAAATCCTCACATTTTAGAGCATTAAGTAGGACTTGCCATAGTAGCATGGGAAAACTCTCAAAACCACAAAGCTGGGGAATGGACCAGGCTGCTTTCTGAGCAGCCTATATTCACTAGAATGCAGGAACTGAGCTCCCCATGGCTCTCCAGGAAAACCTCATCCTAAAATTTCCCCACAGAAATAGGTAACTAGGCTCAGGAGCTCACAAAAAGGGAAGTTTGTGACCAGCTTACTGAGGCAGAGGCTTGCAGGTCTCTCTGAAGGGCTTCAATCCTATTGTTTTGTTGCTGGACTGTGGCTTCCAGTCTGGCATTTTCAATCTCAAGGCTTAAAAAGAAATACAGGTCTTATGAGGGAAATCCACCAGAGCACCAGCTCTGAAAGAACAGCGTGAAACACATAATCTAAGACAAAAGCATCCTTCAAAATCGTATATTAACTTGCTGTGATGCAACAAGGCTATCCTGTTGTTTTCACACCATCCCAGTAAGCGACAGACCTTGCTGCACTGTGTTACTCTCTTACCGTTGCACGTGTTCTTCCAGTTGTTTTATAGTCGTATTAGTCCCAGAAGATGCCAACAGGAGGTCCTGCAGTTTCTGGTTAGAAGCTATTACTTCCCTTTCCTTATTATCCAAGGCAGTCTTCAAGTCACGAACACAATGCTCAGACTGAAGATGCTGTTCTTCCAACTCCTGCAACTGTAAAATCACAGGAAGAATCCCCAGTAGTCAGGTGAGCTTTTATATAGAGGGGTCAGCTGCTGCTGAAGAAGTCAAGGGCTGCATATATCTGCACATACCCTCTAGTCAAACAACTGTAATCATTTCAAGTACATTCAAACCTTCACTTGTACTAGCAAATGAACACAAACTGTGTTACTTCATCATCTTTTTTACTGGCCTCTCCCATCCCTCTGCTGATTTCCTATAGCACAGTTCTAAGCACTGACACTGCCCCTCCTACCCTTTCAGTGACTTGTGACACTCTTTGTATCCACTTGTTTGCTCCTCCATTGAAAAAAACAAATTAAAAAGTTCATCCTTCTCCTAAAGTGACTTCACACCTCCCTCATAAGGAAATTTAAGATGATTTCTATTTCAGAACTCCGAGGCCTCTATACTTCAGTTTTCGTAAGAACACTGCAAAAGGTGGTCCCTGCCTCAGAAAGTAGCTTACAATTCACTTGCAAGATGGCTGCTTAAGGATGGCAAATTACAGCAGGGCTAAAGAAGAGGGGAAAAAAATGAACCAAGCAAAAAAATATATACACAGAATAAGTTAGAACAGCATTCAGCATTGACAACATATTACCTAGTGGTAGGGGGTGGGGGGGGTGAGGAAGCATAGACAGCATAAAAAAGCCCAAATGCAGCAGTCCAGTATTGCTACTGCTCTTCAGAAATCAGACAACCTGCTTGGCCAAACCAGATGCAATAAGCTACAGATACATCAGTGTATTTTGCAAAGCACCTTAGCAAATACAAACCTTTGTCCAAGTAAGGACATAGTATCCTTATATCAAGGACATGGACACCAAGTTTATAAAACAGTGCAATGCATTCACACATCATTATATCTATCCTGTTGAAGTTTTTTCTAGGGTTTTAGGACAACATTCGCTCCTACTTTCATCAGCCACCTTTAGATATATTCATATAGTTACAGACATTATGTACCTTAGTTTTAACCTTTTCCAGTTCCTTTTGCAAGCGCAGCTTGTCTTCCTCCAGGTCACTGCGGTAGCGCGTGGTAACTTCAAGTGAAGCTTCTGACATAGATTGCTTTTTAAGAGCATCGGCAAGCTCCTGCTGCAGCTGTCTGACCATGCCCTAATGAAGCAGTTGAATGAGCATGAAGAAAGTTGTAAGAATGTGAAATATCCCTTTACTTTAACTTACTTGATTATACAATTAGACCTTGATTGACTGAACTCAAAGACATGAAATTCTGCCTGCCAAACAGCAGGCATCTGCACAGATAATGGCCTCTCTTTATCTTTCTCAGCTGAGCACCTCCAAACTATCAGCAGCTGTTCATGAGGATTTCTGTTTCCTAATACATCAAAAAGGCTGAAGTATTATTCTTTTTGGAACAATACACAAGCACACGCTGCAATCGTATATTTTTTTCCTGACAAAATCCAAAGCAATCTGTTGCAATGGAAGAGCCGTAGTTTGACCGCAGACGCTACTCCGATGACTAAAGGCAGGACTTCGTATTAGATCTTTCTGTGTTCTATTCCTCCACTATACAAATATAATTAAAGGAATACATATATTTGAAAGCTCTTTTGAGATACACTTTAAGTATGTGTTGAATCACATTCTCTTGCAGTCTTCTTTTCGAGTTCATTTTAGAATAACAACTGCCTTTAAACTGACGGATTAGGTTTACAAAAATCTGGAAACCTGGACAGTTCATATCTATCAATCTAGTATCTTCACAATGAACCTGTTATTTTGGTAGTGAGAATACAAAGCAATTCACAGGTTAAAATGACTGACAGCACTGCTGGAGTTCTCCCCCCTAGCCCTTAAAGTAACTGACAAATGAAGGATAAGGTGTTTATCTGACACATGCAGGTATTTACCTCACTCAAAGATTCTGGATTTGTTAGGAAGAAGGAAATGTAATTTTATATCACTATTCAAATCATTAAGGGAGACCTTACACCAGAGTGTCTAAATACTGAATGCGATTAGTTACTGTTTTCCAGAAAGTAAAGGAAGATTAAACAAAATGGGTAAGGCAACTTTCAAATCATTGCTCTACCTGGCATTGGTAGAATACTCTATCAATAGAGAAGACCCTGCCTACTCCTAGGAACATATATAACAGTGCATTCTCCCATTACCTATAGCTTTTTCAACTGTCCACCTACTCCTTACTCCTACCCCTGCCTTTATTCTCTTCCACCCTTTTTCTTGACAAAACCACCTATATGCAGAAATGGGAGCAACCCTTAGTTCATGCATGTTTGACTGACATAAAATTATGCTCGTGCTCTGCATAGGAGCATGTTTCATACTCATATACTGCGTGCATTTGCAGAAAGACAGTTTAACTGATGTCCTAATGAGTCTTCTGTCGAGTTAATTAGTCTTTCACAGAGCCACAAAAAGAACACATTTAAATATGACTATGCATCATAAAATAGAGAAGAGAAAACTTAGGTCAGTGTCTGAAATAATCTCAAGGAACAGGCAGGCCCCTCAGAACCCCCAAAACACATACATAAATTAACATCTGGACACTACTAATACATTTTGATAGCAACTTATGGAGAAGCGATTTTTTTTTCTTTTAGAGCTTAATACAAATCCATCCCCCACCACTTCACTTGTCTGCATCTTCGTTTCTCAACCCTCACACATTGGATGGTTCTTCCTTTTCTACCACTCTCATTTGTGTCATCAGAGCAATACATATATAAAAAACAACAAATACATAAAACCATTCTATAGGGCATAAAATGGACTAAGGAAAAGAGATGAAAAAAGTTCTAGAGAAGAATCACTTTTCTTGATCGAAGCTTAGACTTGGATACCTTTCTTCTGTTCTCTGCTCAGATCTGAACAGCAACATCCTGTTTGCCAAAACCTTCCACAGGTCCAAGAGACACATGACAAACTAGAGCATATCAGCATTATTTGGTCCCACACATGTAACTTAGACCTGGTACATTTTAGAAACATAAAATAATTTCAAGAACTCACAAACTGTAAATTGTTCTAAGTGCATACCTTACCTCTCTTTCTACTTTGTCAGTCTCATATTTAAAGACTTGTTCTCTTAAATCAGTACACTTAGTATTTAATTCCTTGTTTCTCTCTTCCACTAGGTAAACTTGCTTTTCAGTATCAGCTCTGAGTTTGTTGAAAATATCATTAAACCGGTCCTGCACATCATTCACTACTTTTTCTTTGATGATCCCCTTGTTCTGCATACCTTCCAGTTGCTGACGGAGTAAAAGGTTTTCACTCTGGAGCTGGGCCAATCGCTCCTGCATGGATTCCTGCTTTATTATAAGTTTGCTTACTTGATCTTTCTCAAGTTGTCGAGCACGATCACATTCCTTTGCCTGACACTGGGCTTGACTTAATTCTTTTTGAGTCATTTCTAAAAGCAATGTTTTTTCTCTGAGTGTTTGTTTCAACTGGTGAAACTCATTTTCTAGGCTATTAGCTTTGCTTTCGGCTTTACTCAGCTGCTGAGACAAGCTCTTGTTGGTTTCTTGCACATCAGAGAGGTCACGATGAAGCTTGTCTTGCAAGCGAAGCCATTCATCACGTTCTCTCTGAAATGTTCGTTCGACATCACTTTTTGATGACTGATGACGTTCAAGTTCTTGAACAGTAGTGTTCAGGCGGGAACGAAATGATTCCATTTCTGTCTCTAGTCTGTCTTTGCTTTCTTTCGTCTGCTCAAGTTTGGAAGTTAGCAATGCAGATTCTGTCTTTAATAAGTTCAGCTGTCCATTGTACTGAAAAACCGTTTGTGTTAAGGCTTCCTCGTTCAGTTTAAGTTCCTTTTTGAGATCTTCATTTTTTTCTTTCAAGGTCTCATTTTCCTCTAAATATTTTCCTTCTTCCTCCTGGTGCCTAAGTCTTACTTGATCAAGTTCTAGTCTTAGCATAGCAATCTCATCTTGCAGTAACTGATTTTTGTACAACAGATCTTTTTCTCTTTCAGTGTCGGATTCCTGAATGACAGGGAACATGAATAAATAGCCAGTTGGGAAATTAATCTACAAAAACACTTCAGCATTAAACTGCATTTTAACATTTCTAATACTGAAGCATAACTTCAAAGATGGGAGTGAAATTTCAGGTAATACATAAGATACTCTATGAACCCGTGCACGTGTACAACGCATGCACACAATGGAAGTGTAACATAAACTTAAAACCTAAATGACAAATGAACATCCCAAATATACAATGCCTTTTTTTTTTTTCTTAAACCAGCAACCAAATAATGAAATTATTTTAAATATCTCAAGTATAAAGCTTTTAAAATGACAGCAATTTCTTGTATGTGTATGCCTTTAAAATATTCCCTTTAAGGTTAATTTAGCCATGTTACACACATCTGGTAAAAACAAGGCTAAAAAGGGTAATTTTCCTTCTCAAATGTCTTCTTAACACTTATCCTTTTGTATTACTGAAAGTTAGCTATACAACTCAATCATCCCTGGAACGCAATAGTCTTGCTCTATGTATAATAAACAGGAAATACACAACTTATTTCCACAAACGTATTCACCTTATGTTTACTGGGCAGCACAGCCAAGAACAAACTATTCTTCCAAGCACTGCGCATTCTTAATAAATTCAGTAAACTCTTTTCAGGATTTATTTTTTTTTTAATACAGTGTTTATGATTGCTTGTTCACCTCCAATTATTCTAACTCCTACAGAGAGTTTAATTCATTGCTGATATTCCTTCATAAAAATACAGTATGTGGAGGTGGAAAAGAAAGGCACACTGAAGTAAGTTTGATAAGGGAATAAGTAATGAAAAAACCCAAGTAATAGGAACACAAAAAGTGAGTGTTAAACAAATCTATTCCTGGTCAACCTTGATGTAGGTGTTTCACTACTAGAAACCTTAAAAAGTGCAGTTGAAATGTCTATGAAATGAAAAATAACAGATAGCTTAAGAAATAGCATAAATAGTGTCTTCTGTTAGTTTCCTACTTGCACATGCAATTCGGGTACACACAGGACTGATGCTGCTTTCCAGAACTTTTAGAGACATAATGGAAAACAGAAATGGTATTTACACAGTGAAGTTACACTGGTAAACTGTAAATAATCCATCAAGAAGCAGAAAAAGTTATAAAAGATTTATTATGACTTCAGAATGAACATGGTGAATTCTAATTAATTAGAAGTAAGTCTGCTTACGTCTGAATTTTTTCCTATAGTTGTTCTTGTCTCTTCTTCTAACTCCTTTTGTCTCCAAAGGTGGTTGTTCAAAATTCCTTCTTGCAGGGCTCTGGCACTCTTTTCCTGAGAGAGCTGTCTCTGTGTTTCATCACGTTCTTCTTCAACCTACAGTAATACAATTAAACCACTTGCATCTTGAGAAAAATCAGAGCTAGCAACATCTTCCCATTCTGTTTTGTATTCTTACCAATATTTTGCTTCCCCACAATTATGATAATCCACCTATAAATAACAAATTTTAATTTTCTTCTGAAAAATTAAAGAAATACAGAATGTGTTGTAGTAATTTAGAAAAATAACTCAAAGTCAGGCTTTGCCTGAAATAGAAGTGAAACCTAAATATAGAAAAAGGAGAGAAGGAATCATGAACTTGCAAAGGAGGAGGGGGAAAAAAAAAAAAAAAAAGAAAAAAGAACAGACCACTTGTGAACCAACTGTTCTCAACTGTCCGCAAAGTTTGGCAACAGTTATCCAACGCCTCTTCCACCAACAAAGTACCTCCTTCTTTAGGCATACTGGAATACAATGCCAATTAAAAAGAAACAGAAAATAAGACAACAAGTGTCTAACTCATCATTTAACACACCTGTTTCAAGAGCTTCCTCAGTGTTAGTAGCTCCATTTCTAAATTCCTTGAGTGTAACTCAAGTTGCTGTTTCTCCTCCATCTCTTTACAATATTGATCTTCTTTCCTTCTGAGTTTTTCTCTTGTCTTCTCATACAGAGTTTCTACTCTGAGCCTCTTTTCCTCTTCTTGTTTCAAAGTAAATCTGGGATTTAACAGAACATTTGAGAAACTAAAGCATTGATATAAAAAGTAAATATTCTACATTATGAACTTGCAGAGACAACTCAAACCATCAAAGTATGAAATCTGAAAAGTTTTAACATTTTTACTGTAATTTTTAACTTTTTAAAGAATTTTTACTTGATTCCATTATCCATGGTATCAGTTGTACAAGATATGAAAATAAACTGTTGAGTGATTTATCATTTATTTTTAAGTTTACGTAGGTAAATATACACCAGTATGCATATTTCTACAATTTGAAAAAAAAAACACCTTCATATTACAGACACTTCATTCAAAAGGAGTTTATTGTCTTATCAGATCAAAGCATCATAAACTTTTAATATGATTAATATAAGTTTTCTTAATATGCTGAGCATTGCCTACATATTACAGATTCAGTGATCGCAAGTAATACCAATGAAGCAGCACACCACTTAGACAAGACAGACCCAACAATTTTTTAGCAAGCCTTCTGTAAGTCTAAACCAACTGCTGACGATAGGAAGAGCAAGCAGCTTCTATTTACTCAAGAATGAGGTCAGTGTTCAAAAATACATTTAGAAATGCATAAGGTTTAAGCTTAATACGAATAAAAATAGTTCTAAACCTCAATGGATCTACATCTGGGAGAAACAATAGCAATTTAATTTTGAAGATAATTTATAATGAAAGCCTTAGGGAATGTCAACTTCTTTACTAACTGAAAATCAGCAAAAACCACCAACATGGTTAAAAAAAAAAAAAAAAAAGAGGTCCATGACATGTCCACAGTACCCAAACAAGAAAGCAGTTCTATGTTTGATAAGTATTTTGAGTATTTTTTCTGATATCCTTGCAACAGTCAAAAAACAAAACAAACAACCCCCCCCCCCCCCCAAGTATTAACATAAGGAAGGAGCTGCCAATTGAAAATCTGCTTTGGAAATTCTGCAAAAAGCTTTACACATAATTTTTAGTGTAACGTCACCAAAAGTATACTTTTATAAGTGTAAAGTTAACACTGCTTTGAGAATTTTTTACAACGAAAATATTAACTCTTTGTAATCGATAGATACTTGAGAATTTTGAAAAACGGTTGGAGTCACATCAGAAGGCTATTGGCCTTCTCAGCCACCAGCTCATACTAGCTCATGTTGAGCTTGCTCTCTGCCAAGACCACCAGGGCTTTCTCAGCAAGCTCCCCAGCCAGGCCACCCCACAGTACATAATCACAAGGGGATCCTCCTTCCCCACTGCAGGGCTTTGCAGTTGTTCTTGTTGAATTTCATATGGTGCCTGCTGGCCGCTCTTGTCTGAACTGATGTGAACAGTGATTAGAAATCTCACACCATCGAGGTCTAGTTCAGCAGTATGGGGAAAGGGGCAAGCCTGAATTTGACCTTTCAAATAAACAAACACTGTCAGCTCTGTTCTGAGTTGCATTCTGCGGAATTACCAGAATTCTTAATGTTATACACTAACAGAAGACACACACACAAAAAAATCTTATATAAATCTCTCTCTTATAAATCTCATTTTCCCATACATACTCTCTTGTTCTCTTCTCCTGGTATTAAAAAAAAAAAAGTTAAAACAACATCCAGAAGATTCTACATGGAACTAATACCCAGGCATTTTTTCCGCCAACATCAAGTAGAATGACTTGCGCATGGGATTCAAAAAACCCAAACCCAAAAGACTAGAAACTTCTCACCCTATCACCTGTACCATCAGCATCTTCTGGAACATGAACACTGACACGATAACACGCTATCGGAACACAAGGTTACATACTTAAGGCTTTGGATATCACTTTTCCATTCCAATTCTTGGTGAGCCAATATGGATTTCAAATCTTGAGTTTCTTCCACTATTAATTGTGACTCCTGCTTTTCACTTTCCAATTTCCTTACTTCTCTCCAGACAGCTGTATACCGATTTTTTTCATGTTCTATTATCTGTTCATATTCAAGAAGTATGTTTTGAATTTTCAACAAAATAGCAGAACCTATTTTGAGAGAAAAGACACAAAGCTGCACATATGCACAAATACTTTCCAAGGTATAAATTATTTAGTTCTTTGCTTTGGGGCCTAGCTGGCAAGGTTCTGGTAGTGGGAAGACTACAGGTAGTGGGGAGGTCTCTGTGAGAAGAGGCCAGGCGTTGCCCTGTGCTGAACACAGCCAGTTCCAATAGACCCGCCACAGGGTACAGCTGAGCCTCTCAGCCACGCTGGTGGCACCTTAGGGAGAACGTATTTAGGAAAGGGCAAGAACACCACACAGGCAGAGGAGAAGGGAAAAAGAATGTGAAAAACAGCTCTGTGAACACCCAGGTCAGTGAAGAAGGAGGGGGAGGAGGTGCTCCGGGTGTCAGAGCAGACCTTCCCCTGCAGCCCACAGAGACACCATGGTGGAACAGGTATTTCCCTGCAGCCCCTGGAGAGGGCCATGCTGGAGCAGATATCCACAATGCAGTACTGTGGAGGACCCCATGCCAGAGCAGGTGATTATTTCCTGAAGCACCTGTAGCCCATGGAGAGCCCAGGCTGGAGCAGATTTTCCCTGAAGGACTGCAGCTCATGGAAGGAATCACACTGGAGCTGGGGAAAAGTGTGAGAAAGAAGGAGTGGCACAGGGAAACTGCTATGTCCTGACTGCAGATCCCAGCCTCCCTGCACTGCTTCAGGAGGGGTAGCACAGTTGGGAGTGAAGCTGAACTTGAGAAAGGGGTGGTGGGGAGGTTGTCTTTTAATTTTTTTGTCTTTGTTTCTCACTATCCAAATTTATTTTAATTGGTAACAAATCAAGTTAAGATTCCCCAAGTGTAGTCTGTTTTGCCTGTGACAATAACTGGTAAGTGATAGCCCTGCCTTTGTATTGATCCTCAAGCTTTTTCATCCTGTTTTGTCCTGTTGAGGAGGGGCAGTGAGAGAACAGCTGGGTGGGAATTTGGCCTTTAGTCAAGGTTAACCCTTGCCTAACAAAATTTTGTCATAGTTTAATAGACATAGTAAGTGATGCTTATGTTTATATAATGCTATGTGTATATATGCAAGTATCTTATGACAGCTGATTTTTTATATATACATTTAAGCAAAGCCACTATTTTGCTGCACCATTTGTCATTAGCTATTAAGGGGATATAAAGAGGAAAAAGATCTTGCTAACTTTTGGTGACTGCATTAGAAGGAGCTGAACTGCACTTGGCAAGAACCTGCTTCTGCAGCTCTAACTAGACAGAGAACCAATGATAAAGTAAGGCATGTTTGCTGACAATACAGACATCTATGGTTAAGTGAGATAATTTCACATCTTTTCAGGGGGATCTCTAATTGTAAAGAAACACTAGATCAAAATGTAAACCTAAAATACCTAGGAGTGCATACAAAGAAGTCATGTTTTAAAAGAGGAACTTTTAACAGCTGAAGACAAAATGACTTGAAAACATACCCGTATGATCCACACTAAGCTGTTCTAACAGCAACATAGCCTCTTTGTAGGTTGAAGTTGGTAATTCAACATCCTCTGAACTTGTGTCAGATGAGTGAGTTAAATCAAGGTCATCAGTTACATCCATTTGTATGCTGACCTACAAACAATACAGTATTTTCTGTATACAACTACATAGTATTACAGATCATTACAAATGCATGAATGCTTCATTCTTTTATTCCCAGCCCATAGATTTGGCTCAAATATGATGAAGCTGCATAATAGAAGCAATTTCTGCATCTGGTTGACTACTACATAAATGCTGTTCCCATCTAAGCGATTAAAAGCTGATACAAACTGTTTATCAAGAAACCAATTTTACAGTACCTTGTTCTTTTCACTTCCTGTTTTTGCTGCAGGTCTGGAAAACAGAAATATATTCAGTACTGGAATGCTGATATTGCATTATGAACAATATCTAAAGTGGCTCTGAAAACTTAATTTCAGAAGTGAATTAACTAAATTTGAATATAAGAATTTTGTTAGATGTAGTTGAAAACTGAAAAGAATTTGTGTACTGTTATGTCTATTGGAAGGCTATTTTTTCCACAAGATATTAAGCAAATAGTTGAAATAACTGTTCTCTGCACTTCACTCAAAGTCACAGGAATCTTACAGCTACAAATATGTAGAGTACACATGTACAGTGTATATGTGCATTCCCGTCTAATACTAGAGGTTGAGCTCTCTTCAGTACTGAGAATCCTTCTCTTACAGGTCAAAGAACGATAATTCTGGATTCTCTAGTGTACTGGGTCTGGCTGGGATGGAGTTAATTTTCTTCGTAGCAGCCCACACAGTGCTGTCTGTTAGATTTCTGACCAAAACAGTGTTGATAACACACGAATGTTTTAGCTATTGCTGAACAGTGCTTGTACAGTGTCAACACCTTCTGTTCTCACTTCGCCTCCCACACAAGTAAGTCTGGGGTGGGCAAGAAGCTGGGAGGGGACACAGCTTGGGGGGAGAGGGGTGGGGAAAGTAGAAAAACTTGGGATGCCTTCAGGAAAGAGTAATTTTGCTCTTCTATAAGTCTCTCTAAAATATATATATTTATGCACGTGCACAAATTCAGAATTTGCACACAAACTCAGAATTTGTGCACATCTGACCTTATCGATAACTTGGCTAGTATGTTTAAAACACTCCAAGCGAAAAAGAAGTGGTTTTGAGCACAAAGGGTATCAGGTAGTATTGTCACATGAAAGAACAGGAATCATTGTACACATCAGGTTTACAAAACTTACCTTTAGCTTTCAGGTCAATTTTTATCATTAAGTAAGTTTTATTTATAATATTCCTTATATTCAGTACCTTCCTTCATCTTGAGATGTTTCACTGAAAGTGCTATCATCTAGTACTTGAAAATTATTCCCACTGGAAGTGCTCATCTGCTGATTAGCCTTCTGCTTTGAAGTCTGTCTTTTATTTTTCTTTGCAACTTTTGTATTCAGGGCAAATTTACTACATTAAACAGAAAGGAAAAAAAAAAATCACCAATTGAGTAGCTTTACAGAAAATATTTCTGTGAAACAGACATACTTAAGATGATGTCCAGAAACAATTGAGATGAAAAATATCTATGATAAAACACAGACTTGACCCCAAAGATCATGGAAGATACCCAAGTATTTAAAAAAACCTTCCCCTAGGAATAAGGGGGAAATGTGGAATCTGAGCTAGATCAGGTAAGATGGAACACATCCAATATCCCCATTAGAGAAAGTATCTAGAGCAGAGATTCCTTTGAGGGACAGACAGGAAAACACTCCTGCTTAGGGTTACACTTTGGGTTCAAACTTTTGAGATTGGTTTGGTAATATCATCTTTTCCCTTTTCCTGACAAAGAGCACCTGAACTTAATGAAAACACCAACCACATGGAGATCACTAAAATCACCTAGAAAAGGGAGAAAGCAAAGTAAACTATGTTCCTACTTTTCTTTTCTGGATGGCCATTTCCTACAAAAATAACTGGTTTTTCCAGTCTTCAAATTTGGTTTTGAAAAGTCTCTTTTTTTTTTTCCTTTTTTTTTTTTTTTTTTTAAAGCAGGCAATAAATTTGCACCTCTGTTGTGAGCTTAGGTTTTTCTAAAAAAAATTTTTTTTTCTTAAATGTTTTAGAAGCAGTGGACAACTCAGTATGGCTTTCAGCATTGAGGAAACTACTTCAACTACTACAATATTAGAAAACCTAAAAGATACTTAAGTAGTACTACAAAAAAGAATTAGAGATTATTTCCTTAGTTTACCCTTTCATCGGCAATTTAATCAATTTTGATGTCTCCTCAGATGAAAAATTCTTTTTGTCTTTTTCTTCTATAGTGTTTTCATTCTCCATTTTCAAACAGTCATTATTCCTTAGAGTAAGCTTTTGTTTCATGTGCTGATCAGTAACAATGCCTGTCGGTGTATTTAATTTATCAAGATCTTCCTGTTTTGCCACGGCCTGTGTTTTGAAATATCTTTCTTTGCTTTTTTCCTTCTCAACCTACAAAAAGAAAGTTAAACTTCATATACTTCTCAGTATTTCTAGAAAGGAAAAAACAGCATATCCAAGATTGAATAATTCAGGGTTTAGCTCCGCAATCACGTAAAATGAAAATAGAGAAGCTTTTTCACTAAATTACAGTACAAAGCATATCAAGTCATTGAAAGTACTTCGAATTCACTCATGATTAAAGATATAACAAAAACATAGCCCTTAGAAAGAAAACAATAGTGTATCTTAAAACATGAACAACAAAAAAGTGAAAGCATTACTGATGGACAAAGAGTTAGAAGGACTGCACAATGTTAGCTGTAAACCCAGGAAAAAAAAAAAATCAAGTGGAAGTGTGCTGGGCTACTGCTTACCTAAAGGGGGGGTGGGGCAGGGAGAGGTCTCAAACCCACAAGCAGAAAGGGTTTCACAGCAAACAGGAATTTTAGTGAAGAGCAATGAATACACACCATGCAGAAATCACAGCAAATGAATAGATTAGTCAAGACCCTGTTCAGAAGCTATTTTCATTCTTTGAGTCAGAATCGGAACGGATGTAATTGTGTGCATTTCTTTTTATGGCAACGAAGTGATAACTACTTACACTGGAACTGAGTGCCACCTATTGTTAAACTGGAACAATAATGCATTCTGTGTTTTCCAAAAATCTTCTAATTAATTACATAATGGGGAAAAGGACAAGTCTCTACTGCTCTCTTTATTTATAAGTAACATATTTCCATCAAAACAAAACCCAATTTGCAGAAAGCATCTTCCCTTAATAACAAATAGCTAAAGTGAACAGGACCATTGGTATGGAGAAAGGCTAAAGAATAACGATTAGCAGGTGAACTTCTACCTCTTTTTGCAGCTGTACCTTCTCTTTCTCCAAAGCCAGGAATACTATTTGCAGCATTCCTACCTTACTCTTAAATCTTTCCATATCTTGTTTTAGTTCTTCATCAAAATTCCTTTTCTGCATGCCACATGATTGCTGAGCATTTGCAAAAAGACTGTCAATTTCTGTTTCTCCTATTTTATAATTGTCGATAAGGCAGTCCCCGGGAACTTCGTAATTAAATCCAGAGTCTTTTCCAAGTTTCCTTTCTGTTACAAAAAGTGTGTTTGCATCACTTGTAGAAACAGGTCTTATTTTAGGAAGAATATTAGAAGCGTCATCCAAAATACTTGTTTTTAAGCTATGTCTCAGGGAGTATTCAGGACTTCCCTCTACATTTCTACTACTTCCATTTTCATTCTCCTCCATTTCCATAGTAGGCATTTTCTTTTCCTCTCCTTTTGCTAGAGGCACCTTTGTATTATCTGTATCATTTGTGCTATCTTCTTCATCTGTACTCCAGGTATCTTCCACATTTGCATTTAAGTTATTTTGATCAGGAAGGACACCAAGACTTGGAATTTCAATTTCCATTTTGGGTTCTTTTCCACCTAGCATAAGTTTAATATCTCCAAATTCACCTTTAGTTTCTAACTTATTACTTGATTCTGTCACACGAGATGAAACAACACGAGAACTCTTCAATTCTTCACTGAAGCCATCTTCTGACATTTCTTCCACAAGGGAAGTAGTTTTCCCAGTTTCATTAATTTCACCAAACAGCTGCTTCAGCTCTGCTGTAATGTTTTTAAAATTTGTTTTCAATTCCCTTTTCTCATTTTCAACCCACATCCTTTCATATCTTTCTTCCCAAGGTTTTGGGCTTAACTGCTTGTCAGCACTGTGCAATTCCTCATTTTCTGCTAGGGCTTCCTGATGTGAAATTTCTGCTTTGTCAGTCTGATTTTCATGTGCTGTTTTTTCTACCAAGTTGGTAGCTTCTAAAATATATTTATCCTTAATAAACAGGTACAGACAGAAAGATTACCAAGAAAAAGGAAGTTACAGTTAATCTAGGTAATTTCTGTTGCAAACTCATCCTATCATATAACAGAAATAATACAAATATGACATTTTGAAAGCAATTGTTTATAATAAAGATCAAGGGATACTAAATTAAAGGTTCACTGAATCATAATTTTCTTAAAAATAGGACTTACTTGAGTGACAACAGGTTTTCTTGGATGAGATTTGTCTGGACATTAGGGTTGCTTTTACCTTTTAGCCTACCTGCTTTCTGAAACTGCTGACATTTATCACAAAGCAATTTATTTTTTCATGTTTTACTGCTTTAATACCATTTTTCATTGCAACTGCCTACATTTTCCCCACTCTCCTTCTTCCATCATTCTCTACTGCCTGGCATTTTACAGTCCCCTGCCAGCTGAGCTAATACAATGTGAATGAACATGACAAGCTTTTACTGTCCACCATACGGAAAACTGGCTAAGTAAGGACTATTTCTTCACCTAAGACTCAGAAATACTAAATTCCATTCCAAGCTCCAAAGAAAAGGACCTACTAGGAAAACCTGTCCATTCCTTCCCTTATCCCCAAAACCAGGATCCCAAGCTTGTATGAAAACTGTACCATGCCTCAATCCCACCCAGTCTCCTGACATCCCTGACCCCATGCTCTGTTTTTCAACAGTCCTGACTGCTCCTGTCATGTGTCACGCTCCTCCCAACATGCTCCTTCTCCATGTGCCTCCTTAGCTCACGGTCCCTTCTACTTAGGGCCTGCAGCCTTGGTGTCCCAATGGGCTACGACCGTCCAACTCCTCGCTCTCTCTTCTCCCTCTGCAAAAATTCCTCCTTTCAGAACAGGGAAGGAGCACCTCAGCCAGCCACCATCTGCCTCGGCCTCTCCATTCCCAAGTTCGTTGCCCAACTACTACCACCTGTCAATAGGCTTAAGTTCTGTGCTCTGCCTATTGAAATTAAACAAGACCTTCTTTCATGGTGACAGGATGCGGGCTGGAAATCATTTGATCCACTGTCCCTTGACATGTTACAGAAGACTCCAGACCCCTCTATCCAGCCCTGTCCTCTGTGCCAAACACAGACTGCCTGCCTTATTCCCCTCTAGAACGCCCTCTGAAAAACAAACGCTTTTCAAACACTTACTAACATGGTCAAACAAGCGCATATTTTGCAGAGGCAGTGAAAGCATCAGAAACCTCACCAAATGTCAAGTTTTTTTGTTTGATCTTTCTCTTACAAAGAGGAAGATCAGGCAGTTTAATCCAACAGATCAGCATATTATAGACAAATCTCCTTCTTCACTTGAATGTGCATTTTGCACAGGGAAAACAAATGCATTTGACTGCACTGTTTCTCAGCACCACATAAAAGGAAAAACACTGATCAAAATTTAAGCAAAGCAGCTGGAAACAATCAGTATAACAGCAAGTATCCAACACAATGACAAGGATTTTACCCTGCCATAAGACGACTTTTTCCAACTTTACTTCAGACTATAATACAACCATAATCTACAGGACTCTCCTTTCAGCTCTATTCACTGACCGGTAAGTTTTCTTTACCTTAGTGTACACTACAATTTACCAATTCAGACTCTAATTTAGAATACTTAGTTTTACATACCTGTGCCCTATAATTTTCAATGGCATCCTTGATGTCTTCTTTTTCAGCTGATGATGACATATGAAAGGTAGATCCTGAGTACTCATCTACAGTGAAAACCACATTTAGTTTTTTTATAACCAGCATGACTTAATACTACTTATTTACACCTCAAGCGCATCTTGAATCACCATATTTGGGAGAAAAATCGTAACACAGAATAACACATTCCCTCAAATTTGTGAGGTCCTAGAGAGAAAATTGTCATAATACAGATTTTTAAGATGCATCTGTGAGAATTCCTTTCTTCTAGGGCATTTTACTTTTTAATGTATAAAGGGAATTTGCTGAAAATCACTATAATGGTCACAAATAAACCACTCTTCTTTCTTAAAGGTGTGTGATCTCTCTCTCTCTCTCTGACACTGTGCGTGCCATGCAGTAACTAGCTACATTACTCCAGCAAATTTAATTTCCCTATGTATTGTGCACAGAAAATCAGGAACGACAAAATCACAGGCTTGAAATCTTTAAGGCCCCAGTTCTAATCCATGCATGAAACAATGATCTGTCTCTAGACATGGATCTGGACTGAGTATTTTAGTCAAACTGCTGCCTCGTCTGTTGCAGAAGACACAGATGGGACACTGAATGAGAGACAGGCTTGTGAAATGTTGAAACAACCCATGATCTGGACATTTCACTTGTACTGTTGAGAACTGCATTCCACCCTTTCCTCTCTCAGAATTTCTAAGTAATATTTGACAGGTCACAAACTCCTCAGAAGCAGTCACTCAGTCTGGGCTCCCCATTATGGGGTGCCTACCTTGAATCTCTGTTATATCTGAGAATTGGATTCCAGATAGTCCCAGATACAATTTAGAAGCAGCAACTCATTGTCATTGTTTGTATGGAAGGCACACTGAACACTTTTAAGTATCAAGTATTCAGAAAGAAACAAGTCCCAGCAGCTCAAGTGTGGGATCTAAAAACAGAGATGGAGGTTTTCACCTTAATCACTCTGCACCTCCTTTCCCGCTCCATAATTCTATGGTTTCTGCGCAGTCACCTTTCTATAGGCAAAGCTTCACTGCTAAAGAGGGACACAATACTCTTTCTACAAGAAAAGCGAGCAAGACAGGGAGAAAATAGGTATCCTCATAAAAATACAAAAGGGTCCAGTATTAATGAGTCACAGGGCCAACCTCACTTCTGGCATTTTCTGCTTTAGGTGACTCCTTTTGCAAGCTTTCATTTCTTGAAGGGGATTACATTAAGATACAAGCTTAGAATTACAAATCATTATGTCTGAATTGGGAACCTAACCTCATCAGTCAGTCATACAGGTCTCCAGAGGTTGATTCTAACCTCAAGTTATACAGTGTGAAATAACAATCTTCTCCTCCCACCTCAATCACTGGTGGGTGCAATTTCCTAGACTTTTGTGAATTTGTTTTTTGGGTTTTTTTAGAACAAGGCATTTCCCAACACATGCTAGTCATTAGTGGCTTGACAGCCCTTATTTCACAGGGTTGTTATGATGATCTATTGATGACTATGATACTCGTCAGACTGTCTGAAATGCATCATAGATAATAACATACCCTTATACCTAAGGATAATGTTCTATAAGGAAAACAGGCATTTTTCCCCTTTTCTTGTTTTTCAAGATCACAGAGTAGATTTAGCCTTTTACTGATACTTGTAGAGAGCTCAAGCTCTTTGCTGGTGCAACGAAGGCTCCAACCAGCATTAGAAATAGAGGACAGATGTGCTGGTGGTCAAAGCACATTTGTAGATAGCACCATAAAGAGTGTCATAAATTATCAATACCAAGATGCTTGGAGTAAGTAAACACTTAGCTTCTATACAAATAACATCCATAATTTGGAGATCAACATTGTCCTTTCCTCCAATAGTTATGCATAGTTTTTGTAGATGGGTCCTTGTCCCTCTTACTAGAATTGTAATGTGGCTGGAGAATTTGAACCAGCAAGTCCCTCCCTCACTAAGCACACAGTTCGGGGAGTGCCAACTGGAAGGGGTGGCCAGAAGCTTTGGAGCCTGATGAAATCCAAGAGAAGTATCTGTACAAACGTCACATTGATTTGTAACACTCTTTCAGAAAACAAAAGGAAAAGCACTCAAGAGAGTAGAACTAGGCAGACAGGCACCCAGTATGCTGGTAATTTACACATAAGCCTCTTGGGTGGTAACAATACCTCCTAGAATGAGAAGAGTCTAGACATACCAGTGTGCTCAGAGCTTCTACTGCCCCTAGAAGCCTCTCCACCCCAAGTACAGCAGGGGGTGGTCAATCTCTCAGATATATGGGGCTGCTCCTATACCATTTTCATAAAGGTACACTTGCCAGATTTCTTCTGTCACTTCATCAGTGTTCATTCAGGTCACAAACTGCAACATGCATGCAGCTTCCTACCATACAACTTGATATCTGTGATTACTCCCACCACGTAACATGGACACTACAATTTTGCTTAAAAGACAGACTATTTTGTGGATGCAGGAGAGCTGTGACACCTTTCCTGAAGAATACTGCACAACACTGACTGAATAAGCTTTTCTGGTCAACTATATCTGCCTGAAAGTTGGATAAAAGCAGACTTGCCAGCACTCAGTTTTGTACTGACTTTCTAAACAATGCAATTCACATTCTCTGTTCAGAGTATGTAGGTATCTTAATGTTTTGGATTCTGTTTCAGAGTCCAGACACTTTAAGCAAAAGCAACCCAAACTCCTATTCACTCTTGCCCACCATGGTCAATAGTAAAGTTTTCAGTAGCAGCTGTTTAAGTCTGAAGTCTCAATCTTTAGATAAGATTTTAGGATCTTTGGAGCCCGTAAGATTTTTTTTTTCCATAGGGTTTTTATCAATCTTGAAATTTCTGTTCAACAGCCACAGAACAAGGAAAAAGGCAGGAAAGATGAAAGGCAACAATATTCTTTCATCTGCAAAATTCCAGTTCTCATGGTGTCAGTAACTCTAGTCAGTAATTATTTTTCCAGCTGCTGGAAAAATAATTCAAAAACATGAACATATAAATACACAGAAATCCCTGTGCATACAAAAGACACAAATCCCACACCTTTTTACTCTGCCTGCTCCCTAGCGGGTATCGAAAGATGACTTTTAGTCTTCTTTCCAATTAACCTTTACCTCTCCACTCTCTCCCGAGATTTCCCTCCTCATAAATTGTCTTACGTAATGACTTTCTGCAGATTACAGTGCAAAGCAGCTACTCTTCTATACAGAAAACATGAGAAGACCACTACTTAATTTTGACCTCAAAATAGATTTTAAGAAGTTATTACTATGACACAGTAACAAAGTAAATAGAATGACAAATTTCAGCTCTCATTCAACATTTAATTGTGCAAGATACTGCACCTGTTTTCCAGATTTATGAAATAAACTTGTGAAGGATGGCATTCAACCTTTTCAGTTAGAAGCATTTGTGCCGCAGGAATCATGATTCTTTGCTGAAGCAATCTAAATTGCTTAAACCCAAATCCAAACATAAAAGTTTGAAAGAAATTTTCACATGTACTTCTTAACACCTGATCTTCAAGATAACACATGGGTAAAAAACAACATGACAGAAATGAATAAAGACACACAGGAAAAATAGCTGACATGAAATGACCTATGAAAAGGCAGTCTTTACTTTCTGTGATTTTTAATATTCTATTATAACATACTGGTCCACTATGGGGCCACATTTCACATTACTGTATAATACAGACAAAACCAAAACTCATGTTTTAACTGAGCAACTTTTAACAAACCTCTATGCATCTTACAAAAACACTATCACTGCAAAATAAAGGGCAAAAGAGGACCTGTTGTTGCTTACCCATTGCAAATACATGAGAGAGAGAAGAACAAGAGGAGGAGTGAGATATTTTTCCTACAGAGAAGTTTAATCTCCAATATTGTCAAAAGAACAACAGTAATTTCCCCCCCCCCCCAAAACAAGTATGCCAAAGAACTTGGAACTATTTGTATTCTATACTTAGAAGTTACAAGTTCACTTGCCTACATATCTGTTCACCTCTCTCTGCTTTATATTTTCAACAGCTGATTGTAGAAACTCTAAAACCTGAATGGGGAATTGTTTCTCATCTCATTAAAAAATATAGAAATCAATAAACATTAGAACAAAGGAACTAAAAAAACCACATTAAGGTCATATATCCTCTCTCTAATATATAGTGGACCAGCTAGCTGCTTCACTTAGGGAGCAGGTATGGTGGAGGAAGCCTACATCACGGAAGGGTTATTTACAGTGTTGAATGGCAGACTCGAAGGAGCACACACATGCATAGAGGCATATTTCAGTAGACCTTCTGCTCCCAGAACACCTTGCTAGAACCTTTAATTCAATATTAGGAAAAAATTTGCAAGTACAATGTGCCTGTCCATAAAAACACTACAAAGACTGTTACGAATACCTTCAATATCCTCTGCACCTCCTAAACCAAATTCCTCCAATAGATCTGCAAAACAAATAAATCAGATGCTTTATTTAATACGCCTATCCAGAAAGATTATGAAGCTGAACCCAGAACCACACGAAGCGAACATTACCTGATTTCTGCTGCCTTTTTTTAGGAGAGGTTTCCTTCATTTCCAAAACAGATTCAGAAGTCTTCAGCTATGAAAGACACAATCCAATGATAAAAAAAACAAATTTAAAGTAACTGCATACTACTTAATAAGTAGAACAAGTAGTCAGTCTGACATGAACAAATACTTACTGGGGAATTGTTGGGTTTCTCCGAAAAGCCTGGAGGTGAAAAATGTTTTGGGAAGTGTTAATTTATTTAATTGAAGGTATCTTTTACTCCATTCAATATCAGTAGTTTGTACAATTAAGTAATAGCTGCAAGCATTATTTCATTGAGAGTACGATACCCAACATTCAGTTCACCTCATCATAGAGCATTTGTATTAGTATACACGAAATGGAGAATGCATACTTCCTATCGTGCACCTTGGATTTAAAAAATAATCATCACAGAACTAGGACAATTCACGTGAAGCAGTAAGGTCATGCTTGTTAACAGCACAAGATCAAAAACATTTAGTCCTTTTGAGGAGCTGAATCCTGCTTTCTAAAAAGATTATTTCAAAAGCCAAAGTGGGTCTGCTGTAATGAACAATCATAAAACAGTCCAACAGCACTATGACTGTGATTATTCTATAAGCCTTTAATGTTGAGGAGTATTTTCCTTTCCATTGATGGGACAGAGAAAGCATGGGCGCATCTACAGAAACCTCATACATGTGTCCTTCAATGAGGTAAAAATCAAGCTAGTTCTCATCAGATTGTTCTGGTTTAGCTTGCAAGGAGACAAAAGAAACAAATGTTGCTTGGTTGTAATCTGTATTTATAGCATAGTTCCAAATACTTTTTTTTTTTTTTTAATTTTTGTCCAACATTAAATAATTTCCAAACCGACACTGTCTACTGGCCCACCTATATTTTTCAAATCCTCTGCTTTAGTCATCTTACAGTTTGAGTCCTCTCATGAAAGAAGTATATGAAATGTTATTAAGAATGGCTCCACAGCAAAATTTTTGTATTTAAAAAAAATTATTAAAAAGCAAACAATATTTGATTTTAGGAAACTTGGTGGTCTAGCAGAATGGAAATACCTTAGAAAGATTACCATAATCACCTTTTACACCCTTTTCACACTGATTTTAAACTTACCTTAATAGCATCATAAGAAGCAGACTTCCATGACAACTACTCAACAAGTAGATTTACAAGCTCCCAGGAGCTTGTAAAGTTTTGCTTCCAGCTTACTAAACTAAAACTGCATTAGCTTCTTCAGCTCTTCTGTTGTACCTATACTACAAGCAGGATTGGCAAGCCATTTGTTAAAGGAGAAATCCTTCAGAAAAGAGTTCTACTTCCCTGCCATCCTACACTCAAGATGCTCAAGAGACAGTGTCACAAACTACAGGCAGAAACCCTTAGCAACAAAACCTAAACTTTTAGTCACATTTTAGCTACTAGGCAAAGCACAACAGAAAGCTATCAAAAACTAAGCTAAGGGAAAAAAAAAAAAATATTAGCCAGATCATAGCTTTCTTCTGCCACATTATCACTAAGAATGTTTAAATGTTCAGACAGGTCAGTCCTAAACCACATACACTTTCATCACTATGCAACAAAAACCTGAATCCAAAAAAATACAGACATGTCCAAAGAACACATCTAATGCAAACAAGACAACTTCCTTTACAAACTGCCCAGCAAGTGCTGTGATAACTGGTGTTAACTAACAAATACTAAGCACTTCATCACTTCATTGCTATAGCACACACCTACATCATAGCAGCATTCCTAACACAGACACTGCTAAAGTTTAGTTTAGCCTATAAAGGCTTACAGACAAACTTTTACTCCACAAGGAAATTACCATTGTCACGTTCCCCTGAAACAATCTGTAAGCATGCTCCGTGTCTGTCTGCAGCCGGGAGCAACACGCCAGACGATACTTTTCTCAGACTTCCAGAATCCGTCTGTATAACCTAAAACACATGCATAAGAATTGGTATAAATGCATTTTCAACTCATTTCTATGCAAAAAAGCTCCTGCTAAGTCAATGTGCATAGCATGGTATCAAGTATATTAGAGATACAAAAACCTTTGATAAGACCCTTGGAAAGGACACATCAAGACATAGTCTATTGGAAATCACAGCAGTTGTGCATGTTTTCAGATCTCGGGCAAAAACCTCACAACTCATCTAAACTATTCCGCCACACTGATAAACCTTGACAAACCAGACAGCCACAAAAGAGAATTAACATGGTAACTCAAGATGTGGGCTGTGAACCAATAACTGCAGCTCTGTGGTGATCCAACTTTTGTACTGAACTTGCACCTGACATTCAAGCATTCAAGTTTATGCTTATGTTCCCTAGGCATGTATCCTGCAGTGGCGAGTGAACACATCACTACTCCCAATCGCAAGGGTGATTTGGGTTGAACAAAGACTAGCAAGGCAAAGCTTGCAGAAACTAAGGCTACCTAAAAAAACTAATAATATATGTCTTGTATTTTGAAGAAGAGGTGGGGAAGAGTTCGTTTTGCCTCAGAAGAAAGCCAGAGGGGGTTAGCTACAGACCCGGTTCATTTTCTTCTAGCCCAGTATCACAGACAGAAAGAACTGAAAGGGCAAACACAGCCAGCATGCGTGGTATCTCTGTCGGACATGACTTTCAAAAAGGGCTGAAGTACACCTACAAAAGGTAGAGAGGATCTATTCAGAAGCAGCTAACCATCTAGGCTGGAGACCCTAAGGGCAACCACTGACCAGGTCAGTAGAATAGAGCTATCTGGTGAAAAAGCAACAATCCTGCCAGACCCTGTGAAAAGCTCAGAGTATTTTCAACAGCAAGAAACTTCACTGCTTCAAGACTATACTAGAAACCAAACTCAAAGGCCAGTTGTCATGAGACCCAAGTTGTTAGCTTAACCTAACTTCATCCCAATCCTAACTGAACAGACGGCCTAGAGCAGAAGTATTTCAAGGGTCCCCAGTTACAAACATATGGCAGAAGCAGGAAAAGAGGAAATAAGCCTCATCAACAGCAGGGCCCAAGTCAAAAGCAAGCTCTCAAGTGCTTCTGGATCTTACTCCTCCCCTCCCCTCCCTGGTGGAAGCCCCTGTATCCTTCACGGAAAGTACCTCAGAGTCCCAGGGAGATTCAGCATCTTCCTCTTCCTCTGCTCCCACTGCTGGCAGGGCACCTACAAACAAGGTAAGAAGTGAGACACCAAGTGCTTATATTTCACTCTACTTTTCCCCATCAGTCAAGCATTGCATCCAAAAGATGTGCAGTGGTTCTATTGCTGAGGACAAACTAAGAGCAAGTGTTATTCAAGGGTTTCTCCACACCCAGCCACATAGTGGTATTTCCTTTACACTGCCACCTCCTCTTGCCTCTTTTCCAGCAGAAGACAGCTATGCACAACAGCTGACACAGCTACAAGCAACACCCAACACATGTTTGGATAGCATTCAGGAGGGGACTCCAGCACGCTGCAGTCCTGTGGTATACAGAGTTTACGTCACCGGCTCTCCAGCCTACAGCTCCAGAATTTGGCATTTACTACCGCTTTCCACTGTACAGGAGGTACTGTACAAACACTACCCAAAACATCCTCATGCTAACATCACCAAAATCACCAAGAGACAATGCTCCTTTTGCAGGAAAGAGCAGGAAAGATCTTCACTGACAGAGACTTGTTATACCCAGCACCTTCCCAGAAGCTGGACACCTAAACATTGCCATTTAAAAATAGAGTAGAGGCTCACAGCTCAAACACTCACCCCAAACACACAAAAGCAGTTTCTCTCTCAGGGGGTTAACATTCAAATCTCTCTTCTACCAGATGAGCATAAGGCTTGGTCTCAGTGGGTTCCTGGCCAGATTAATTTCTCTGTTTTAAGCTACTCCATTAGGTAAAACTGATTCAGGATTCACTTGTGTGGAGACATGCACACAAAGAAGGGGGAAGGAGCTGGAGACCAGTGAGGGCACCCACCCCAGAAAAGGGCAATTGCTCATTCCAACCTGGGCTCTGACTACTTATACCACGCCAAATGCACGCTTATGGTAAACTGCAGAGACAGAAGAGCATGTGTAGGCACAACACTTGAATATAGCAGGTTCTGCCAGGCTCCCTGTGTAGCATTTGATCAGCAGCCACACATGCTCTGGTAACATCTACCACACCAAGCTACTCTCTGGAGACGGACAATGGAAACAGTACCTCTTCCTCCTGCTCTGAGACTCAAGGTGAGTACCACAGTGCTCAACTCTGACCAACCTGGTAACACTTTAAAGCACACACAAGTGTGGCACTGGAGAGACCTTCTACATTTTAAAACTGGACAAGGTGAGGCACTGGAACAGAACAGCTTTCTCAGCTTGACTCAAATCTTTCCCAGGCTTCAGCCAAGAACAATCACAGCTTTTCCTACAAGGAATACAGCTTTTCAATCCAACGGTATGGGCCAGAAAGGGGAATACTACTGTCACATGCAAGACACTGTAGTCGTCCTCCTCTTTTTCATCAGTGCATACTGTTCAGATCACTTCAGGGAGAACACAGCAACAAAAGCAAGAATGGCACTTGCTTCACATAGCATCATTTGGAATCCAACACCACAACTTCAGTTCTTCAAGAACAAATGAAAAGGAACAAAAGCTCTTTCCTTCTCTGCCAATGCCCACTAGGATTCACAGGCCAGGGAAAAATTTGCTATCTCAGAAGTCAATCACCATTTTAGTTCATTTACTGTGCATTAATATTCATAGAGGAAGAACTGGATCAGTATTTACTAATTTCTCTCACCAGTGTTGTCTTTTGAAGCACTGTGGACTTAATGGCCATCATTACAAATAGAATTTTTCACACCCTCAACAACTGCAGTTTGGAGCTCTTCACCAGTATCTTCCTTCTCCTGCTCCTCCTCCTCCTCTTCTTCCCATTCAGGTGATTCTGCCTAAAAGAAATTGACCAAGACAGCTGGAAAGAGCAGAAACAAGCATCTTCTTCACCATCCATCAACAACTTGAAAAATACTTTTCTTGTGTAAGGCAAAAGGGAAACTGCGTTGAGCTTTGTTTTACAACGCCTTCAGTTTTTCCATGACAATCTATATGAGTAGAGAGCAATGCCTAATGTCATTAAGTCTCACCCCTGGTTCTGCAAAGCCCCTGAGAAGCACCTCCTAATGTCAGTCTAACTAGCTTCATTTAAGTTACATCACTCTGGAACACATTCCTTCTTTTTCCCTACCTTGCCCCAAGGGAAATCACTAGCTTCCTGCTCTCAATCTTATTCAAACTTATTTTTGTTTCCTCACTTTCAGCCACCACACCATGAATTTTTACTAAATGGCAGTAAATCTTCACAGATAAAATCTGTACAGACAACTGAGAAAAATGTAATTGATTCCAGAAAAAGTCTCCTGCCTATTCTTTTTTCCTGCAAAACTACTGTAACCAACAGAAGAAAGTATTGAAAATACTGCCTGATATTATTCTTATACCTAAGAAACTGCTTTGGCTAGGAGTAAGACATTTTCTAATTTCAAAAAAAGGATGATCAAAAGACAGATATATGTGAAGAATAAGTATTAACAGAAATCCAGTTTACCATTTGTTTCTTACCTATAATACCCTTAGAAAATATCCTTGTGATTGAATCATCCCTATATACTTACTTTGGTGCTTGAGTGAAATGCTGCTTTTAAATTTTCTTCATGCCTATTTAAGCACAAGTTTTCACTTTCTTGTTTCAGTGCTTCACAGACTTTATCATCTACCTCTTCAGATTGCTCTTCTTCAGTATCTTCATCATCCACACGTTCAAGAATGACAGGGTTCGGTCTTTGACTTTCAAGCCTCGGGTTTTTTGCTGCTGACCAAGAATTATCACCACTTTCAAAGCCATCACTGAAGCTTGACTTTTTCTCCTTAAGACCACAACTATCTGAGAGAGGCTGAGGTATCTCTTTTTTCCAGTCTGTCGTTTCAGAGTCTGCAAAACAGGAGTCAGCATTTCTGTGAAACTTCTCCTGTATCATGCTTTTCCTGTTCCAGCTTTCTTGCGTATCTTGCAAATTATTTAGATTTTGAAAGACAGCTTGTTTTGGTACTGACTTGCAAGATACTTCATTATTCATTATCTTTGGAGACATGGCAATTGCATCTTCTTGCGACCTTTCATAACACCCAGCTATAAAAGACACAGGAGTATCAACAGATTCCTCCACCTTTTCATGAAGTTCTTTACTTATCATCATCATCACAGACATCTCCAGTTCCACACCAAGCTTCTCCTTCATACTTAGTGTTACTAAAATACTCCAATTTCTGATTGATTTCCCCCCTTTAGGTTCTGTTTTCTCCCCCTGCTCCTCCTCCAATATGTCATTAGACTGAGTTTCTTCATCTTCCAGATCCTCCTCCTCCTTTTCATCTTGTGTAAGATCCTCGTCCTCCTCCTCTTCTTCCTCTGCCTCCTCATAATCTTCATCATCATCTCCTTCATTTTCATCATCTTTCCTCCTCCTCCGATTCTTCTTCCTCCAGGTTGCTTGCATCTGAGACGTCTTGACTCAACAGTTCTCCACGTTCTCCTCTGTTCAGGTTTGCATCCGACGGGGTTCTTTGTTTGAGGCTTTTCTTTGGTGACTTGGGACTTTCAATTCTAGAACCATCACCATCATCTTAAAGCACAAGAAAAAGAACAATGCATGTGAACAAAAGGAGTTATGTAAATAGCAATAGGCATGTTACCAGATTAATGCACAGGAGAGGAGTCATCTGGGAATGTCTGGAAAAGGAGCCAGGTAAGGGATGGGCAGGATGGACGAAGGACTTGACCGGGGACAAAGGCTTAGGAGGGGATTAATATCTTCATTTTAATGATACAACTTATTTTTTTCTGAAATTGCCAAGTGCTGTGTTTTCAAAATGCTACTTTTCTCACTTGCTATAGCAAAAAAAAATTATAAAAATACTACTTAGCAAGTCTACTTTTATGTATCAGTATATCATACAATCCTTTCCAAATAGCTTACTGTTTTTCTTGAACTGCTGGGAAACGTTCATTAACAGTGTCAAGTTTGGCTTCTGCAGCTTCTGTAAATAAAGAATTATTTTAGCAATTTTTTTTTTTTTTTTGAACAGCAACGACAACAAATCTTTTGTTCACATCAAATCTTGAACAGTAAATATAATCAGGCTGTCCTTTTGGTAGTGCTCAGGTGCTGGCTCCATCCTATACTTCTAACTACACAAACACTCCCCACATATGCAATTCAGTGAGTACTTCACGCCAAAACACTGTGCAGGCACCCTTCTGCAAATTGTTTCTAAAACTATGTTCACATGCATAACAGTTCTAAAAATCTGTTTTTAATATCTCTCATACTTAAGTAAAATTCAGCCATATTTTAAGATTGCAGTTTCGGGATGCTTACTTGCAAATGTGCACAACACGAGTAACTGTTAAGATCCCTAGACTTAATGCATAAATTAGTCCCTGCAAGTACACTTACCAAAATATCCCTAAATTTCAAAATCATGCCAGAAAAAAACGCATCATTTCTATTTAAATCAGTGCAAGAAAATGAAATCATGTTAAAACTAAACATGCTTGCATCTCCAGCATTCCAGAGTGGGTTCAACTACCACACTCAGGTTCCTCATCACTGCAGAATCCCAGTGCAACAGAATAGATGCTCCAGACATCACTGCAGAAGTTGATAATTCTTCATAACATTAGTAAAAACAGTAGGCACAAGAGCTTGTAGCTGTCAAAAAGAATACTACTCAAGCATTCAAAAAAAAAAAAAAAGGGAAAACATGCAGTGTGAGACTACATGCAAGCACAGAATGCCATCTCATAGAAGAAAAAGACGACCCATTTGAGTAACTCATCCATTGAGCGCTCTTGAGGAACCTGACGAGGAGGAAAGGAGAACTAGGTGATGAAGGATTTCAGTAGATCTTGATAAATAAACGCCCTTTTTCTTTATCAGTTTGGATTCTATCACCAAATTTACAGGAAACAATAACAATGTTTGGAGATGAACAGAACAGGTTATAATAGTAACTTACAAACTTTTAGGGCCTGCAAGTCTGACTCAAATGAACAAGAACAAATAAAAGAATGCAGCTGTTTATCTCGTCACCTATTGCTCTTTTGCCCCAAACCACAAGTCTACTGCATGCTCTCCCACAGCTACAGGTCTTTCAGGAAAAACTCACAGCAGAAGAAAGGCTGGCAGGCCAGAGACTGCTTCTAAGGAGAAAACAATATTGGCTGGAACTGCAGTTTCTTTCAATCCCAGAGAAAACTTGCCTTCAAATCACTAATTTTTACAGGACAGTCTTCCTGTAAAAGCAGCATACCTTGGGAGTAAAATCAAGTTCTTCTTCCTCAGAAGTATGCCAACTGTCATCACTCCCTTCTTTCTCAGAGCTTCTTAAAAAGCAAAGCAAAATGAGTACTGTGTCTCTCAAATCATTCCTCAGGTAACTGTGAGGTATTTTTAAAGTCTCACCTTATTGAGTCTCCTTGGGAAAAGTCATCTATTGCTGTTCAAACATTAATTGACATGTTGAAATTAGATTTGGCATGCTAAAAATTAACCAGTACATATAAACATTTAACATGGACAACTCTACAGGTCATAACAGAATGAAACTTTGGGTACTCAATTCAACACAAGACAGCATGAATGAATATATTTCCAAAACAACTGCTTTTTTGAGCCATACTGAATTAAAAACAACAAAAACAAAAAAGACCAGACTTGTATCTCCTTCGGATTCTTACACCTAGAAGATTAACAAACATCTCTAAACTAAAAAAAACCAATAGCATAGCATGAATAAGCTATGTTCGCAAACAGTTAAACTGGCGGTAGCTTAGCAAGACAGTAAGTAAATGAACCTCCTAAGTACTCCTATTACACACATGAGTACACATCACATGCAGAGATTTTTACTGTTTTCTGTGACGTTATGCATATAACATTATGCTGTATACTACACTATCTGCTGCTCTACCTAATGACAGATTATTCTGAAAAGGTAAAGAAAATCAAAAAGCAACATCAAGATCTAAAGCTTATCCCCAGGTAGAATAATCACCAGCCGTTCTCTACACTGCACCAAAAAGCGTATTCAACAGACAAAAGGGGCATAATCAGGGCATTCTATACTACACTCCAAGTATTCATCAGTGTTATGAAGGCAACCTGCACATAGGATCATAGGATAAATCAGGTCAGAAGGGACATCAGGAAGTCTCCTAGCCAACTGCCTCCTCAAAGCAGGCTCAGCTATGAGGTCAGATAAGGTTGCTTAGGGCTTTATCGAGTCTGGTCTTGAACACCTCCGAGGAGGGAGACTATACAACCTCTTTGTTCTACTGTCCTTATCATGGTAAAGCTCCTCACACCCAATTAGAAACTCTCATGTTTCCATTTATGCCTCTTGTATCTCTGCCTCCTGTCAGGCAGTACTGGGAAGCACTGGGCTTTGTCTTCTCAGATGTACTGGAAGCTGCTGCTAGGTCCTCTTCCAAGTCGCCTCTTCTCTAGGCTGAACAAGCCCTGTTTCCTCAGCCTCTCCTCAAAGGGCAAGTACTCCTGCCTCTGATGAGTCTGATGGCCCTCCACTGAACTTGCTCACTGTTGAAACACCAATCTCTCTTGCACTGAGGGCTCAAAGTTATAGCCAGGGAGCTGGACACAATCCAGTGAGTGCCAAGTAGGAGCGGACAATCACTTTCCTCAAACTTTTGGCTATGCTGCTTTCAATACAGCCAAGGACACTGTTGACCTTCTCAGTTGCCAGGGCACTCTGCTGGCTCATGCTCAGCTCACTCTCTGCCAAGACCCTCTGGGCCTTCTCAGCAAAGCAGCTCTCCAGCCAGGCAGTCCCAGCATGTTTTGTAGCAAGTGGTTGTTCCTTTCCATGTGCAGGACTTGGCATTTGCCCTTGCTGAATTTTCTAAGACAGGCCTGACAGTCCAGTTACCCAGCTTTTCAAGGCCCCTCTGAATGGCAGCACTGCCCTGAAGCATATCTACCGATTCCCCCGATTTGAGGCCACTTGCAAACTCAATGAGAGTGCACTCTAGCACATCACTGATGTACTAAAGAAATCTGAACTCTAGGAATCCAGCCTAAAGAGTGCTAAAACCTCTCAACTATCAACAACCAAGATGAAATAAAAGGGGTCTTCAATTCCCAGTACAGGAGGGAAAAAACAAACAATATAATCTCCACACAGTAGCTATTTCAGTGTTCCTCAAGTTCTTGATAACTAATTCTTGTTAACTATCATAACAAAATGAAGTTGCTTATGAACAGGAGACTGGTAACCTTCCATAAATTCACACGATGACAACCAAACCAAGGTCTTCAAAGGAAAAGAAAACAAAGGCATACCATGCCTGAAGACATCTCCTCTACTACCAGTAAACCACAAATAAGCATGGAAATTTTGTCCTAAAGACAGGGTTTATGTGGAAACTTTGATGAGTACATCTCCTGACCTGAACAGGGCTTTCAGACAATGAAATACAGCGTACGTGTTCAGTGTAGACATGTCATGTAGACAAAACCTAGAGGCTGAAACTTCCAGTGGGAGGACAAGCTAAAACAGTCAAAATACCAACACAGTCTCTGATTTTTAATGTTTCCTATTACAAACACATAATATTTAAAAATAATAATTAGTTCCACATACCACAGTTTTCTGTTAACTCACTTAGTACCAGCAGTCTAAGCTACCTGCTAACCTCCCAAACTGAATAAAAATCTGTCTCTCAGACTGAGTGGATAGGGTGGAGCAATCAGTTATAAACTCTTGACAGGTGACTTCAGTTATATTTTCAATTAGCATAGTTATAATTAGTCAAACCAGCTGAGTAAGTTATCTGAACTTTTGCTTTCAATGCATAGTAACTTTAAGCAATGATCAAAACCAGATCACATTGTCCTTTAGAAAGCAAGAGAGAAAGTTCATGAGCTAGCTTTCAGACAGACCCTGATGCCCTACCATAGAAATGACATCTAGAAAAGCAGTCTCTGGGGATTGCTTGTTTCCACTTCAATTGAAGTCCATTTCCATTTTGGAGTAACAGAAGAGCATATTTTAGAAAAAAAATTATTTACTATCACTAATGACACAAAGCAAACACTCAAGTCAATAATAAAGGACCCATGCAAAACATGCAAACAACTAAAAAGCACCTAAAGCCTGCTCTCAAATCTAATTTATAAAACCAAAACCATCAAAATAGGGACCTCCAGGATAATAAACATCATAGATGTGTCTATATTTGTATATTGTACAACATGTTTCGTATTTGAAATGCTACTGTATAGAATACCTTTCCTTGATTTTCCTGTTCTCGATGTCTGGTTAGGAGATTGTTGCATTCCTATATCCATTTATGAAAAGGCATGGAAAGGACAGATGAAACAATGACATCAGAATAAATTTGAATCCCCAGAAATTTGGAAAACATAAGCAGTACATCAGCAAAGCTATAGCAACGGGAAAACATACTGTGACTATCAGCCTACTCTATGGTTATAAGCGCTAGAAACAAAACCAATCACGATCTACAGAACTCTCCTGTCAAGGGACAGTGTCAGTGTAACTTAATTTACTTGCTCCATGTAAAATACCCATATTCCAATATTTTGAAATACTGAAACAGATTATCAGAAATTTACTCTACTGCCAACTTTCGATTTCCCTCAACTTGACTAGTCCTTGTCTAACAGACTGCAAATGCAATTCCTTCATATTTGTAGAGCACTTCATACATACAGCACACTTAAAATCCCTCCCTCTAAGCATCCCAAAAATCCTTAGGTGCCAACAACTAAACTTTGGAGATACACTATCCAGAAATTTTGAAGGAAATCTTGGTTCTCAGTACTCACATCACCATGCGACTTTGAGCCATTACGTTATTTACACTCACTCATCTCAAGTTACAGTTTTAGCATGTTTGTTATCCCTCACTAAAAAAGCAACCCAGAAACCTGTTGCCTTAAAGCAGCTCACCTTAATAGTTGTGTCAGTTAGTGCCTAATGCAAACGTAGGCCCCTCCTACCTCAGTTTGAAGATAGGAGATTTCTGCTTAAATTGATTTGACCATGCTGAACTGTTCAGATACAGAAGTTATGCCACCAGCCAGAATGCAGACACAACAAGCACTCAGAATGAATACCCTGTTCCCCCAGGGCTATAAGGCAGGCCACAACTGGACCAGAACAGGTATGTTGACTGGTATGAGCGTCATGCATGTGTGTTTGTGTGTGTACGCATGTCTGTGTGGTATGGAAGAGAAGTTTTAGAATATAAATCACTATCCACCTGCTCTACCCATCCTACTTAATAAAGTTTTATATTTTAAGTCAACGAATGGTGCGGTTCTGTTATTGCAGCTACCCAACACCAAATTTCTTCATGACAAGGCCATAACATTTGTCTTGGAGCGGAAGGAAGGGAGGCCTGCTTATATTGATTTTACCGCAAATTCGTGGAATGGATGTGGCAAAAGGCCTCCTATCAAAAACATACACTTAAAAGAGTTAAGAAAGGACCTCAAGATGGTTTCTCATCCCTTGTCCGTTTCTCAGTTTTCTTAAAAGGTGATACAGGACAACTTTTCCTGACCTCAGGAGATATAAATCACGCTGAAGCACTCAATTCTTTTCAAGAGCTCTACAATAAAAAAAACCAAACAACGGCTTCGGTAGGGACTCAGGGAAACACTGAAGGAACAATACACTAATATGCAGTGCAGTAGTTAAAAAAAGCTGCCACTGCAGACATACTAGAAATCTGAATCCCTGCCTTTAGAAAAATTGCATAATTATTATTATTTTTTGCCAAAGAAATTCCAACTTCAAATCTAAAAAGTCTGTCATTCAGTATGCTAGGGCTGGAAGCCATTCATTTGGAGGTTTTTGCAAACCTGTCCATGATTAATAAAGAGATTCAGGTTCTGTCAAAAAGTAAACATTCAAATAAGTATGAGCCAACTCCTTAAATATGCTGACTTGCTCGTTAGAGGAGAATACTTTGAAGAATGTTCAACAAGTGCAAAAGCAGCAAAAGGAATAAGGACAACACTGAAGACCCCAGAAAAATAGTACAGAAGAGCAAAAGAAAAGAATTCTGAAGTGGGTGTTTCTCTGGTTGCTCAAGATCATCCCAGCTTCTCCTCTAACAGAGGCTTCAAAGCCTGTTACTGCAGCATATCAAAGGGACTCTCGTGACGCAGGACCTGTGCTTTGTGGGTGCAAGCCAGAGACTGCAGAGTTAATGCCAATAAATGCTCCCTACATGCTACTAATCTCTCTCGCTTAACACACTGGGGTCATCTTTTAAGAGACTGAGCACAAGGAGAAAAGGGTTCGTACTACTCAGAAGAAAAACAAGCCCTACTAGAAATAGACTGAGAACACAGCATGCTCTTTCTCCTCCGAAGTCCTTAACCCACGTAATATTCTCTTCACACTTACTATGCCTCTTCAAATGTAGATAAGAAGTAAAGATTTCCCATTATATTGGGGATTTATATTAGTTGTACTATAATTTTCAAGGCATGGGGCAAATTATTTGGTTCCAGAACCCATACTTCACTGAGAGTATGTCAGATTTGGAATCACACAACAGTGTTATTTTGCAAGCCATGTATTTTAAAATAACCCAGGCCTGTCAGCCATTACAATGTGGTACCACAGCAATTATCTACACGCACAGGAGGCCGTAACGGAGAGTGCTGTTTGGGTGAAAGCAACATTATGCTGATTATACTACCTGTACCGAGCCCTTTCCAAAAAAATAAAGGAAAAAAAAAAAAAATCTTCCTTCACTCTATCAAGAACTTTACAAATCTCCGACTAGATCAAAGCAACTGTTCCCACGTCAAAGGAACAAAAATTGGCTCTAAATTAAATTCCTATGTCTGGGAAAAGTCAATGAGGACAAATATCCCATGTTTTGCTCATATTTCTTGACATATTTAAAAAAGGAGTAATGAACTGTGTTTGAACACTGTCTACTGCCCACTTGCCACATAGTTCTGATAAAACACCCTCAAAAAACCAGAAAGAATAAAACTCCCCACTGTAGGGCCTCAGATGTAAAGTACAAGACAAACAATTTTAATTTAGATTAAAATATTAATTTTCTAAGATTCCTCTAGGGCTCTGTGAGCTCACAAGCATAGACTGGATTTAAAAAAAAAAAAAAAAAATCACTGAAGGAGGTAGTTTTTTGATCACAAGGCAATTTAATTGTTTTTCTGGATCACAAGGTAATATGGATTTTTTTTTAAAGCTTATTTCATAAAATTACTGAAAGTGGAAGAAAAGCATTATTTTTATTGTAAATCAAACTATGTCCAAGAAGACACAGTATACGCGGAGACTGCATTGTTGCTGCTAACAAAGTTACTTTTCCAAGACAATTTTTCCTCAATATGTCTCTACAGCACCTTCATGGAAACAATGGTAACTGATGCTGAGAAATAAGTTTACTCACTAAGAGGAGCTTAGTGCAGGTGAAACTATTAAAACAAAGACGCACAAACTCAGTGGAAATCAAGACGTATCTTCCTGCTAACTCATCTGTTGCTACCCAACTACAGAAATATGAACAACTACTCAGAATGAACCTACTGCTTTTGTAATTGGATTTTCACAAATCTGAATGGCCATCTATAGCTAAAAAGTACACACCTGAAAAACAAAAACACTCTCACCTAGTTCCTCCCCTATCCCCCTTCTCTCTCCCTCTAGGAAAACCTATACAGATGGGCAATCTGACAGGCAGAAGGCAACAACCCTGTAAGGGGATGTGTAGTGTTACACAAATAACAACTGCCTTCGCAGCCTGACAAGAAGCACCTCCAGCTAGCAACAAATAAGCACATTCACAAACTTCTTGTGCTACTCCATCTGATGCCTCCACTAAAGTCAATGGTGAACACAGTAAGTGCTAACAATACAAGCCACCTAAAAAAAAAGGCCATAATGATTTTCCTTATGAGCTCCTCCATGGTTAAGGATCCTACCTCCTCTGTCCACAGCAGGTGCACCCAACGTAAAGGCAGCAGCTCCTACCCGGTGAGGAGTGCTAGGTACCATGATGCCTTGTGCACCACCTGCCGAAGCTTCTCCTGTGTTTTCCCAGTCTGCATAGTCTGCCAGTTGTTTACTAAGACTACATAGAGAAAGAGAGGAAATATATTTGGTAAAAATAACCACATACTTGCATATACCATTTCAGAGAACAGTTAACAGCCACTTATTACCCATTCTACACATACTCATAGCCATATGAATTTGTATACTCATATGCATTTGCTAAGGGTAGTACACACAGAACTTATTGCATGACTATTACATACCTCAATATTCACTACAGTTGTGTTCATTCTAGAGATGCATATTCATACCTACGAAGTTAACAGCTCCTGCTTGGCACATTTTTTTCAGCCTAGCTTTTAAGCATACATAACCACGTTAGAGAAGGAACACCCACAGGTACAAAGCGACGCATAAGAGGAGTAAAACTGCTTAAGATTTTAAGAAAAGGGGTATCAGTTAGACCTCCTCTGAAACAAAAGGCTGGTAGTTCCTGGTCACTGTAGTGGAAGTCAGTAAGGACAATGGTGCTGGTCTGGGGAGAGGGGTTACATGCATTTCAGTTTGCCAAGTTCCACCTCTGGATAACTGTAGGGTACAGGCACTTTAAAGAGTTTACAAAACTTGAAATCTAACAGAGAGTTCTGGGTAGACATTTTCCTCAACTTCCAAATTAACACTAGACACAGCAATGATACGTATCAAGAGATGTCACTGAGCACAGCTTCAAGACAGGTCTCAACACACCATTAAACCTTGGTGCTGTTACCAAAAATGTTCAAAAGCCGCACTGATAACTGACAACCCGTTCTAATGATAAAGTTAAAAATTTACCTAGAATATCCATGAATAACAGCATAATCCTCAGCTGTCCATCCGTTAGTGTCCTTATGGGAAACATCAGCGCCATATTGAAGAAGAACTTTTATCAAATTAAGCTCCCCACCAGAAGCAGCAGTCATAAGTGGGGTTCTGAAACATCCAAAATACGGTATGAAATAGATCATTTTACACAGACACTGTAATTATTTTTATTCCTATTTGCTCTCAAAAAAGGTGTTTTCCCCATTACTTTAAAATGAACCAAAAAAAAGCAATTTTCATTAAGTATTAAGAGCAACAGTAAAACGGGAGAGAGATTCAAAACAATTAAGTGTTCAATCTTCAAGCTAAGCTTCCACATTGACAACACTTAACATACAAACTATGTTGCTACGCAGGAGATGGTTTTTCAAATTGAGGCAATGCTGCTGAGCTAACGGCATGTTTCCTGCCAGAAGGGCCATCCCAGACAATGCCTTCTTGCAATCCTCAATGCAGAAAGCATCAGCTGAGGTATGACAGCAGCCAATGCAGACTTGCTTTCACAAGTCACACTGAAATAGTTCCGTGTGGCTCCCTGCTTTTTTTCAGCGCTCATTCCCATGCCTCTCATCAATCCACCCTAAGGAATACTAGAGATCCATGTGGAGTTTTGACAAACCCCTCACCTTTCACACTGATCTCGAGCATGCACGTCAGCTCCTTTTTTAAGGAGAAACTCTACTATCTCTTCATGATGTTCAGAGACAGCAAGAATAAGCGGGGTACATCCCTCCTGAAAGGACAGATAAATGAAGTTAAAAATCAAAGTCACAAAACCCTTCAAGAGAAATAGTAATGCAACTTTTTGAAAGAACTTGCTTAACAAATATAAAAACTTACCTTACTCTGGGCATCAATATTGGCATTATGCTCAAGTAACAGCCCTGCTACAGATATATTAGGAGATATGACAGCAAGGTGAAGAGCAGTGTTGCCGTCAGCATCTGCCAGATTTGGGTCAGCACCATGCTGTAGCAGAACAGCCACACATTTTTCTTGCTGGCACTGTACTGCCTGGGAACAACACACAAAAAAAGGAAAAACTTCCAGCATTTACATTTCACTGTGTTACAACTCCCCAAGCTTCCCAACGCTGGAAAATAAGAGAACCTTCACAGATTAGCTAACATATGCCTATTCCACGCCTATCACAATATGCATGTTTCTACATAGGTCTATGTAAAGAATCCTGCAAGATACATCATTTAGTGCATAATCAATAAGCCCCACTTACAAGAACATAACACATTCCACATACCTTCATCAGTGGCGATCTGTTATCACTGTCAAAAAGATTTAGCTTACACTTGTTTTCTACTAGATATGTAACGACATCCACGTGGCCATTTGCACAAGCAAGATGCAGAGGTGTCCTAAAAATTAAATCAGCACAGACAGACAACCAAATAAATCATTTCAGGCTGTGATAAATGGATATGACCACAAGTTTCACTTTCCAAAAAGCAAGCTTAAGAAAAGATTTCTCATTCCATTACTAGTAACAGCAGTTGTACATCAAATGCCTGAGGCTGGCTAGCAAAAACCCTCCACAGTGTCTGCTTAGTAAGGTGACATTTCCTTCACTGTAGAACTGAATCTGCACAAAGAGATGCCTATGCCCAGGCATTGGTCACTGCCTCCAACAGGACGACACACATGGCACAGCAACAGAGACCAAAGCTTGGGAATCTGAGGACTATGGCAAGTAAACCTCTAGTTCTTCTATGATCATTCATGTGCCAGAAGTATATCAGAGATGGGATTTATAGCAAGAATATTAGTGTTTCCCTGCACTTTGAGAATTTCTGCTTTTTCTCTAGCTTGCTTACTACTGCAGCAAAACCAAGAACACGCACCAACATGCCTCTGGTAACACACAGCAAACTAGACAGCAGAACACTGCAATCCTGACTACAGGAAAGTAACATTTGACCTTCCTGATGCATGTAACTATCACAGTCATAAAAAGCTTACCACAGAGTAAGTCCTCTCCAAGGAGGGAATACTGTGTTTCCACAATACATGACCGGCATAAGAAAATGAAACTTTTTTCTTCAAGTTAAAGCCTTGCCAGAAAGAAAACAGATCCTTCAAACCACAGAACATCTTAGGTCTGATGTCAGTTAACCAGCCTACTTGTCCCCGAAGACACAATCACTCAGAAAGTCCTTGCATGTGTTTCCCCCTAAAGCACAGGCACAAAGCAGCAGAAGCTTCACTCTGTGCAGAAGGCAAAATGCCTGCTACTCTGCAGGACACCTGTCCCAACAGAGCAGGAGATAAGCTAGAAAACAGCCAGGACCCTCCTCCCTTGAAGGTGATGCAACAAAAATCCTGCAGTTCCTTAAGCACTGAGGGGAATGCCAGCAGTAGTTTTGAACCACATCACTGTGGGTAGGTCCTCCTCTGTATTTGGGAAAGCTCAACTAACCTTGCAATTGTTTTGGTACTTTGCTGAGAGACAGGAGCACAACAGCTCCCTGGCTAGGTGGGAACAGAAAGGGAGAGGTACAGAAATACAGTGGCACGTGATACAGAAACACAGCAATTTGTAATGCAGATACTGCTTGTTACCGGGCAGCTGATGAGCCTCCTCCATGGCAACAAGGATGAGGACAAGAAAAACACACAAAACTTCAAAGAACTTGTAGTGTCTTGCTACAGACAGGGAACTGACTGAAGCATCAACAGAAGGTCCCTCAAGAGCAACTACCACCACTTTTTGAGAAATTCCCTTATAAGTATGCGGGACCCTTCATCTCTGAAGAAATGACCGACTGAGATTACCTGAAAGCTAACCAGGACTGGTTATGAAGGAGTCCACGATCATCTAAAAGCTGCTACGCTACTACCAAGCACTAGGAAACATGACAAACCTGAAGAAGTCACTATCAGCTTTGCAAAGAAGCAAAGCCTTCAGAAAACCTGTGGACTCGTTGCTGCCCTCCTCAGCCAAGCCTCTCAGTCTGCCAACAGGAAAGGAGATGGCTCTGCCTGGAGCAAGGCCTGCCGAGCTCCACAGAAGACCCACTTCAGGGAACAGGCTGGCAGAGAACATCGGAGTGTTCACAGTTGCCTGTCCCTGCAAGAGGCCTCTAGTAACACCAAAGCTGTTCTGCCACCCAGCCTTCGGGATCCTGCCCAGACTCTGTTCCTCCTGCTGCTGCAATCCTATGCTTATCACCCATGGGGCAGAAGAGAACTGCTGATGCCTGAGCAGCAGCAAAACCACCCCACTGCGAGACCACAGGGAAACAGCAGGTTGGCAGCACTCACTTCCAATGGCGCTGGAGCCGCCAACCCAGCAGCTACAAGCCAAGCAATGAAAAGCTCTAGAGTTCACTCTGACAGGCAGCTGACATGGTAAATCCCTCCTAGCGATTAGCTTTGACCCAGGATTCGCGATTAGCTGGCACCATACGTCCAGTACTTCCAACTCTGTGCTGAGCTTTGCCCATCTCTTTCAGCAAGGCTGAAGGCTTTGCTAGACCACCTCTGAAAAGCTGCCTGCTCCTAAATGATACTGTTCCAAGGAAGCCCTATGGGCTACAGGACCCGCTTTTTGGAAGGAGCCTGGAGGGGCGATACTTGCCACGCCCCAGTGCAGGATTTTGCTTTTGGAGATGCTGAGAAGCAGAACTGAGATATTCACACGAACAAGGGCATTTTAGCCATTACTTCCCACGTGTCCTATTCTTCGCTTCTATTTCCAATGATGTCACCTCTTCCACTCCCTGGAGGACACAACGAAGCTTCGACTTCAAAGCGTGGTTGGAGAAGGGCCGCGAGGCTCCTTCTGCAACCCACCTTTGCCGGGCTGCTGCCAGCTCCCTTCCACTCCTGCGTCGTCGTCCCCCCCCGGCAAGGAAACAGGACTCCGGCAACGAGGGCACCGAGGAGGCCGGGGCAAAGGGGGTAAGGCAACACTGGGATGCCAGGCCGAATTCAAGGGGTTCTGCCGGCACAAGCCCGACTCCCACCCCCGGCCGAGGGCTGGGCTCGGCTATGGAGCCAGCCCTCCCGCTCCTCGCAGCGCCGCGGCCGTTCGCCCCCAGCGCCGCTGAGCTGCCGGGGGCCGCAGCGGCACCGCCGGGGACGGGACCCCCCCACCCCGCCTCAGCGCCCGCCCGGCGCTGCTCCCGCCCTTACCGCTCCGCCTTGTCCCGCCCGTCGACGCCGTATTTCTTCAGCCCCTGCCGCACCTGGGCCAGGTCGCCGCTGGCGGCCGCACGGTGCAGCTTGCCCAGGTCCTTCTGCCGGAGCTCGTAGGCACCGGCGGGGCAGGGCAGGGAGGCGCTGCCGGACGGCGGCTGCCCTTTCTTCTTCCTCGCGAACCCGAAGATCCTCTTCATCCCGCGGCAGGGACGCGGCCGCGGGCGCGGTCCCGCCTCAGGGGAGCGACGGCGGGAGGCGCCCGGCGGGCTGCGTC